GAGGCAAACCTCTCCTGTGACAAAATGGCATCCAATGTAATAAAAAAGGTCAATCTAAGAACTAGATTCCTATACCGGATCTCCTCTCTGGTAAACAAAAACACCCTGAAAACTCTGGCAGGAGCACTCATTCAAGGGTACTATGACTATGCCTGCACGTCATGGTACCATAGCACCTCCAAGGCGCTAAAAATAAAACTTCAAACATCGCAAAATAAACTGGTCAGACTACTGCTTGACCTTTCATCTAGAACTCACCTCACCTCTGCCCACTTTGACAACCTATATGGCTTAGAGTAGACGACAGAGTACAGCTACTTGCAATGGGCCTGGTCTACAAGATCCACTACACCTCTATGGTACCCATGTACATGTCAAAATTCTTCCCAAAGGTCAAGGAATACCATGATCATAACACCAGAGGGAGCTCCACAAATCATGTAAAACCCAGATTTGGCACAAAAAAGGGGGAATACACGTTTCTATGCCACATCAAGGTGGAACGCTCTTCCCACAACTGTAAAGGAAAGTAAAACTATACTTACCTTCAAAACCTCTCTTAAAGAGCACCTTCGGGGGAAAGCATTGCAAAACTGGCCCCGGTAATGGTACAAATCTCAACCTGTCGTACAATGGACAGCTTCCCCCCTCATCTATGTATATACTCGCATTTTAGACTCTGTTACTAACTGTATATCTGTAGACTTGGTATGTCTTAAATGTCCGGTTAGGATGTATTAGAACGAAATCTAAAATGTAAATTGTAAATAAGCCATCTGTATGTAAAAAACCACCTGTATGTAAATTGTAAATAAGCCATCTGTATGTCAAATATGTCTTATATGTCTTAAATGATATGATGAATTGGAAATGGGGGACCCTGATGTAAACAAGACGAAAGTCTTTCTCTGGTCTGCATCCCCTTAACAATTGTATGTTTTGAGCTGTACTGTACTGTACCCAATATACAAGCTGTTAATAAACTTTTCAATCAATCAATCAAGCACAGTGTGCTCTGATTAGTCGGGACGTTGTGAATCGCGCTGAGATCCTTGTTTAGGATACATAGCGAAACACAGCCAAACTCATCCTGAGCACACAAAGTCACAGCCGAAGTAAAAACAATAAGTGTGGCTTGATATTGAGTAAGAAAAAGGTTGATAAACGCTGTGAGAATGGGTCTGCAGATAACTGTCTGTTATCAGCCTGCAGCCAGGGAGGAGAAATCAGCCGAGCTGCCTGCTCCATGCACACAGATGTGTGTGTGAGGAAGTCCGTGGATTGGTCAATTTGGACCAATCAGCGGGGGCTTAACGTAACGGCTCCACGGACGTAACGTAACGGCTCCACGGATTGGTCCATTTCGTTCCGGGTACGGCTTGACATCATGCCGTACCCGGAACGAAATGGAAGAATCAAATGGACAGTGACGTATCTCCAACGAGGCGTTTAGGGGAGGTATTTTCTGTGTTAGAGTTTTACTCGCTACAGGGTGTACTTTAAGGGTTTGTGACTCTGCACACCGTTTACATGCATAAAAACCTTCATAACACACAAGGGGACGGAAAAGCATGACACCTCTCCTTTAAGATATATAATATCATGAATGGGTCACCAAAGACCATACACACCTTTATCAAAACTTTGTCTCTCCAGATTGAAATAGCGTTTTGTAAAAAGAGGATAGATAAATGATCACCACATGAATGCAGTATTTAGGAACAGCTGCTTACACACTTGTTGCTTTGGTAATGATTGATACACACTCCAGAGGCTTGAGTTGTGTCGGCAGCCAGCTTTGAGGTCAGGGAAGCAGAGTCAGAACTCTTCAGTCACGCTATCTCTGAGAGGGTGTTCCCCACAATCTGACCCTGCAGTAAAACACTCTAGTAAACACAGTCGTATGCCAGCATGTCACACAGAGTAGTCAATTATGAAAGTAATTGGTTTAAAATGTGGTCTTGTTAAGGGTTTAGGGCAAACTGGTGAACGAACAGTCTACCACACCATGTTTGGAGGAAACAGCACTCGTTCCTTTCCTCCAATATGAAGCTACAGCTAGCATGGGATTATCTTAGCCTAGCAGCTAGCCTGGGTTTGTCCAAAGGAAAAATACAGGTGCAGCTACCAACACCACTCACAATTTAACATGTCAAACCTGATCTGTTTATTACTTAAAGGGGACCTATCATGCAAAATGCACTTTTGTACGTCTTTTATACATGAATATGTGTCCCCGGTGTTCCAGGGAACTCACCAAGTGTCAGAAAACACAACCCTCTCTATTTTCCTCCATACCCAAATTTCTAAAAAAGGGGCTGCAACGGATCTGATAAAAACTGATCCAGATTTGAACACTGTCCTGACGTCAGGACGGTGGCGCTACGGCTATTGGGCCAACTCTCCACCTATCAGGGGAATGTGGGGTTGGGCCACAGCCGGCCATTGCCGCTCGAAAGCGCTGGAGACGCTGTAGTACATATGCCAGGCCTGTAAGTGGCGCTGCCACAAAAAGCAGCGAAGAAGACTTCCTGCCCATAGTTACCATGGTTACCCTTCTGTTTATTCTCCGCTGTGGCCCATCCGGGGCCCAAAAACTTTTTCTGTGCTTTGCAAATAGTAACAGTTCTATTGGCAACTTGATGAAAATGGAGTAAGAGTTTAGGGAAGACGTCTACAAACAATTTGTTTCCCAACAAGTTAATAATCTCATTTCAAGCTGACTCTTTACCTGCATTCAACTAAATCCCGCTCAAACAGGGCTGATCAATACCACCCAAACCTCAAACTGATATCAGATAGCTCCCTACACCAACATATTGTCCATTACAGATTCTGCAAATATGTGTTGGAAGAGATTACTCACCTGCTATATTCCATCTGATGATAACTGTCAGTATGCAACACAGTCTCACGGCATTTCGTGTTATAGTCACGAAATTAATCTATTGATTTGTGTTCACCAACACGATTTCGCCATTTTTTTCGTGTCACACAGAACGATTTTAAAAGCAATGTAAATAATAACAAATAAGAAGGAAAAACAGATTTAAAAAATACAGATTTCAGTAATCTGACACAGAACGATTTTAGAAGCAATGTATTTCTATTGGTAGTATGTTTCGTGCTCCGACATTATACAATTTAAAATAAAAGGGATAGGGTTAGGCTTAGGGTAAGATATTGAGTAAGAAAATGTTTTTATGAACCACACAGCTTCTGGTATTCCAAGACCCGACCGGACAAAAAGACGTGTTGCAGGCACGAAACATACTACCAATAGAAATACATTGCTTTTAAAATCGTTCTGTGTGACACGAAAAAAAGGGGGAAGTCGTGTTGGTGAACACGAATCAATAGATTAAATGTTGTGACTATAACACGAAATGCCGTGACACTGGGTTGCAGAATGATGATGGGTGCAGCTGCTAGACCATTCTCCAGCACTGACACAGCGTTGTGGAGAGAGGTCTGGCTCTACAAGATTACTCATGAACCAAGGCACTCGGACACTTTTTTTAATACTTAGATTGCATTTTGTTAGTGCTTGGAATGTGTTTAAGATATATGTCACTACAAAATGTAGTCATATTATAGTGTATACTTTACTGTATCATGCTTGGTGTTGAAACCTAAAGCAAAAGGCAATCACCTCACTGACCTGAAATGGACCCAAGGAACTCGAAAGTACAGTTCAGTTGGTTTGGGAGCGACAAGGTAAGTGAACTGGAAAGAGAGAAAAAGAACACTCAGTGCGACAGGAACATTGAGAGAAAGGAGCCCAGGCCCGGGGAGGATGATGACATGCTGGGTGGTGTTGTGGCTCTTGGTGATGTTCCGACTGATTCAGAGTGGCATGTTGTTTTTTCATCACGTTCACAGGCTTCTGCTGCTATTCCTCCATGTGCCCATCAGTGCCTCCTGTATCCTCCAGGAATCAAACCTGACAGCCGAGGAAAACACAACAAAGTAAAACATGTCACAGCAGATCCTGTTACCGCAGGGTGTGAAGAGGCAGGGCCTGTCTCTTCTGTGTTGAACTGTTTCCTCGAGCATCCTAATGATTTCCTGTCCAAATGCTTATCTTCTGTCTGTTGCTAACCGAACAGAGGCTGAAGCTTCTGTCTTTGTTGTCAACTAGAAGTTATCAAACCTCAGGAAGAAAGATTATTTATTATGTATGAAAGAGCTAGCAAAAAACCTAGCAAAACATTACAAGAACTGTAGAACCCAGTTATCAGTTATTTGATTTTTTTCTGGTTTGCATAGGCCGTGTTTCCACATAACGTACATATTTTACGTATCCTTCATTATAGGATTCTTGAGAATACATTTTAAATATATACATGTTTAAAGCTGCAGAAGGTGCAGTTATTTAGTGAGAAATAAACACGAGGCACATATTGCATCGGGGGGTAAATTGGCTACTTATGAATTAGCAGTTAACAGATTAGTACATTTCTGCCAGCATTCCTTTCTTGTTTTTAGCAACAGGTTGCCTCAAGCTGTAATATGTTCTTTATTCTTAGAAGGCAATAGTTGGCAGCCATCAATCTAGTTCTTGTATGGAAGAAGAGTCAAATGACGGACCAAACGCCTCCTTTTTTAAGCCTGATGAAGGAAGTCTGGGTTGACACAGACAGATGATTACCACCTCTGTAGTAGCGGTTATCAAGAAACTGCCCAACCCCCCCCCGCCCCTGCCTGAAACGCATCCACTGGACTCCTTTGTTTACTTCTGACACAGTGACATCACTATGTAACACTTGCTCTCCAGCTAACCAATCAGAGCAGACTGGGCTCTGGTTTCAGACAGAGGGTGAAAAGAGGCAGTATGAGAACAATAAAGAGCTCTTTGAACATTAAAGCATGGAGACATGATGTCACAGTAGAGACACTAAATACTGATATACACCTGAAGACGATTAGGACCTCTTTAAAGCTTCTTTGCTGCTGAGGGAAGTCAGATATCTAGATAGACCACAACACATTCATTTATTTAAATAATTATCTTTATTGACTCAAACACACATTCATCAGTCATTCTTACATTCCCAGCCTTTCACAGTAAATGTTATATAATAACAAACGTTTTCAAAAACAATGCCAACATGTACATTACATCAATGAAGTGGATTCATCCACTTTGCAAACATGTTAGTCATTTTAATTATAATTACATAAAGAATAAGATGTGTTACATAGACATAAATCTGTTTTTGGTGTTAAGTCACAAAAAGTAGCTACTAAAACCAAAACAGTTCTGAGGACATATTTTCACATCTTTTGGGCCCATGCAGAAATAAAACAAATTCAATTCAATTCAAGCAAGCCAACAAACTAAATCAAATGACAATTTATAAAACTGCAGTTTTTTAAGCCGCTACACTGGATGCCAGTCCGCTTCCGGTGTGTCTTCAAAACAACCAAACAATATTTTTGCAGATTTTAGCCGCCAACTTATTAAGCATTTAGTACATTTGATATCACTGCCATCAACTACCATGATTACAGATATCTAGAGGCACCACAACAGCACACTTGGTACTCATTTTGAAGTTTCAAATGCATTAATGCACCCACAACTCAAGCTGATTGGTGCACTTTAAACCAATGTCTGCCTGGACTGGACAAAAGCACACTAGAGAAAAAACATCATGCTTTTGGGAACGGTCAATCGAGTAAACGTGATTCGTCAGTAACAGACTAAAACTATGCATGTTTTTAAAAGCAATGAGTTTGAAGGACATCATTGCATTTTAAAAATGTCGAATATCACTAAAGAACTCGTCACGTCCAATCAACATGACACCATCTGTTTAATACCATACAGCTACAGTTTTAAAAGTGCCCCAAGATGGATGGATAATCCATTTCCAATTATTAAGCGTGCCATTTCGGTGTAGATGTCGAGGTAGTTGGGAAATAGGTGAGAAGCTGTGACAATGACTTTACTTTGTACCTTATCTCTGGAGGGTTTGTTGATTTTTAAACTTGGCATTAAAAAGATAGACGTTTTGTGGCAAGGCTTGCAACACACACACTGACAGATAGTGCAGAGTGCAACTGCATTACTACCTTCAGTCAGTACCACCTAACCCTCACCCTGATGTAAATGAAAGGGTAACCAACATGGTGACTGTTGACATACAGTATAAACTGTTCTCCCTGTGCTCCTCCAGTGTGTTAGATCTCTTTCTCCAGTAGATCTAGTCAAAACTCAGCCATCATCGAGTGTAGCCTCACCCCAAGTGCATCAAATACAATTCTTATTTTATAGTCTTAAAGATCTAGTTGAGTCTGAGTTTGCGCCATGCGTTTATAATTAAAAAAAAAAAATAGGCATTGTGGTCTTCAAGTGGCTTTCCTAAAACATTGAAATGCTATAACTGAAGCACATGTGGTTGGCTTCCTTATTCAGGGAAGAAAAAAAAGAATTAGCATGGAATATAGTTTACCAATATATTCTGTCCGCATTCATATAATCAATGGCTTCACTTCCAAAGGTTCCCTAAGAGGATTCCAATCTCTCCCACATTCAGTCCCTTTGACTATCCAGTGCTAGCTCTTGCAGCAGTGCAGCAGGATGAAGACACTTAGCAGAGTCCTGGCAAAGCCCAGCCTGTGATTAAATAATCAGCTCCTAGGCACTGGTTGAGTCAGTGGGAGAACATGCAGGGAGCTGCAGGTTCAGCTGCTCTCTCTGCAGAGCAGCTGGGCATGCTGGGAGGGTGATCCCTCGGACTGCAGCAGCCTACAACAAAAAAGGGAAAATATTACTAAGAGGATAAAGCAAGTTGCAGCCTACATTGTAATCTTCTTCTGGGTTTGTTTTTGACGCTATCAGTCGCAGCAAGAATGGACAGTGAAAATGAGCTTTTGACCGTATATTGGCATCATACCAGCAAAATGTAATATCTGTATCTGTAGAATGTCACAGACAGACAGAATACCTTATTTTGGTAACATAAGGCTCTTTGCTAATATATTGTCGGGAGAGCGTTGTAGAAAGGGTAGCAAATAGCAAGGCTCTATACATGTGGGATAATTATCATAATTTACCAACGACTGGGACGCAGGTTCTACTAGATTCAAAGATCAAAGCAGGATTTACTCTATAAGCAACAGGCTCCTCAGTTATTAACAATGCGTATGCTCAAAATATGGCGTTTACCACTATCTAAGCAAAGTTTGAGATTTATTCAAAACAACTTGACAGGAGAATGTGTATACGCACATGAAATGGAGAACTGAGAAAATGCTATTCTGATGGCAAAAGGAAGAAACTTATTTATTGTTTTGGTGACGGTATGACTTCCTGAGGCAGCAGTGTGCGCCACATGCTGCCCCTCTAATGTCCAGACTGCGCCCCCCAAACAACATTATTTACTTGTATCCACCTCCCCATCAACAACACTGATTTAAAGGAGAGGTGTCATGCTTTTCCGGTTATTACCCGTCCCCTTGTGTGTTATGAAGGTTTTTATGCATGTAAACGGTGTGCAGAGTCACAAACCCTTAAAGTACAACTAGTAAAACTCTAACACAGAAAATACCTCCCCAAAACGCCTCGTTGGAGATACGTCACTGCCCATTTGAGTCTTCCATTTCGTTCCGGGTACGGCATGATGTCAAGCGGTACCCGGAACGAAATGGACCAATCCGTGGAGCTGTTACGTTACGTCCGTGGAGCCGTTACGTTAAGCCCCCGCTGATTGGTCCAAATTGACCAATCCACGGCCTTCCTCACACACACATCTGTGTGCATGGAGCAGGCAGCTCGGCTGATTTCTCCTCCCTGGCTGCAGGCTGATAACAGACAGTTATCTGCAGACCCATTCTCACAGCGTTTATCAACCTTTTTCTTACTCAATATCAAGCCACACTTATTGTTTTTACTTCGGCTGTGACTTTGTGTGCTCAGGATGAGTTTGGCTGTGTTTCGCTGTGTATCGCTAACAAGGAAACAACACCTCCACGGAGCTCAGCGTGATTCACAACGTCCCGACCAATCAGAGCACACTGTGCTCACAGGGAGGGTGGGGGCTGGAGCTATTGGAGCTACAACGAGCCGTTAAAGGCAGAGAGTGAAATTTAGTGAATACACGTAGTTTACAGAGATGCTGTATGAGAAACCAATGTGAGTTTGGAAAAATGCACAATATAAATCTATTCTAGTAGACCTCAACAATGGAATTATGATCAGTGGAAATGGCCATGACACCTCTCCTTTAACATTGTGTCATTTTTTTTTGTCATTCTGTTGGTGTTTCCTAAAATAATCTTCATGCAGGCACAATTACTTGATAATAGCAGTGTTGTTGCTAGCTTTGAAGGTTAGCCAGGCTGTTAGCTTTAGACATGTTGGCAATGACGTTGATCGATCTCATTGTTTGTATGAAAAACCATGGAGAGAAAAATATCTTATCAACTTCTCCATTGGGCACCTTTTGGTTTTCGGTAACCAACGCAGTGTGTCCTGTGTTGTCGGTAGTTCTGAGGAAAACCGTATAAGAACTGAAATCTTAACAAACAAAAACAGCGGTTGGAAAAGCTAGGTGGGAAACCATATGGCTTTATAGGATCTCTGAAGCTCCAGAGTTACAGCCTTGTTAGATATGAATGTGGTCTGAAGTTCATTTGCATGAGTCATGCATGTAACAACTGTCTGCACAGTGTATAAATCACTAAATCATTGTGGCACTGGGAGTTTTGGGAACATCATCTGAGGATGTCACAGTTTATAAACATGCAGGGCCATAACACCATGTCTCACAGAGGAGCACTCTGGGAACATCAGCCACACACTCATCCCTAAAGGTCAAATCTGACTATACATCATCACAACAGATAGAAATGACATTTTAAGTGATGTTTCTGGCTTCCTGACATACACAAGTTCAACATTCACTATGTGGTCGACTAAATCTTAAAAAACAGCATTTTGTTATTAATCAAACATTAAAATAAAGTGTTAAAAGGTCAAGGGTTCATCAGTACCTTTCTCATACGAGTTTGTGTGCAGGGAGTTGTCCTGGTTGCAGTGACTCGACGTAGGCCAAGGCACTCTGCATGGAGGTCAGGCAGTATCCTTCCTCTCCTATCAAGTAGCTGAAAAAGTCAACATTAGTTGATTATAAGAAATCTGCAAGTCAGAGAAAGAAACGTTGTTGTGATTTGTATGCATGTACTTTTGAGGTAAAAAAAGATAGCAGGACATAAACTGAAAGCAATTGAATTCTACCAGACCTAACAAAAACGAGACTCGACTGCCCAAAACATTTCTAAAAATCCAAGAACAGAATAGAGAATTTATTCATTTTGCTGAATTTACTTCATCAACATTTTCCCACAGTGAGGAAAGGACATCTCTTCTTGAACCTTAAACTAATTACTTTGTGGAATGGATCTGCGTGTTTTTTGGAGCCGGTATAAATGAATTAAAATGTTGGGCAGCATGATGTATGGAGGGCTGATATGTGAGAAGAACTAGTGATTGAGGAGATCTGTTCAGACAGAGGAGAGGAGACAGGAGGGGGGGGGCATGTCAACTCTGGCCGACCTTTGAATAACAAGAGCGTGCCACAAGACCGACTGTAGACAGGAAGAAGACAGTGAGAGGTAGAGAAAAGAAAGGAGATAAGAAGACGCTTATTCCTTGTTAACTGAGTTCTGGATATTGAGAGTAAAATAATGTGGTGCACAATACCAACATATTTGTGCTGAAGTTTAATAAGAAACATGCTACTACATACCTTAACAAGCAACCACTAAGAATTTTAGCTGATGACATCTTCATTGCATAACAGGTTTAGGTATTGCACTTGAAGGACTTTTGTCTCACTGTTTGACTTTGTGCAATACCCACTTTTCTTCTGTGTTTTTTTCTCACTGGTTTGAAGTGGATGTGACTTCCATACACCGATCAGGGTTTATTAACATTTCAATCAGAATACAGTTTGTAGGTTAAGTTACTGTCAGTGAAATCTGATCAAACAACAGCCACACAGTTATGATGAAGCAGATCAGTTCAGTTTCTCACTGTTAAGCTGCATTCAAATGATACCGTTAGACAATGCCGTTGTGTTTCTATGGAGAGTGGTGCTGCCCACCCAGGCTGAAGTGCTACCCTTTGTGCAGCTCAAAAGCCGCCAGGAAGTGCTGCCGATGCTGAAGCTAATTTTCAGTGAGACGTCCGTAGATCAGCGAATATATATTTTTTAGCTTAACTACTCAGTACGAAAACCTTTTTGCCTTTATTTAAATTATTAGGGTCTAAGAGTTGTAAAATGAGCTTAAAGCTGAGCACAAGGGAAAACTCAAGTGCGCCCTCTCTATGGGACCACATACGGGAACATTTGCTCTCCAGAGGCAGGCCATTTTGTCTTCATGCTCCACTGAGCAACTCTCATAGAAATGACCAAGGCCCCGCCTCAAAGGCCCTCGCTGACTATTTCAAGCGGTGAACGACACCATGGGTAGCGCTCAAAGTTTGAATTATTTTAACTTAGACCAAGTTACAGCTGACATTTCGACCCGCAACCAATCAGAAAATGTATGTAGTGGCGCAGGCTAGCAGACGAGGCAACCATAGAAATGTAACTTAACTGGATGTTTTCTGCCAAATCTTGCGATAGGCATAGAGCAAATCACATATAATCTAAATGCAGCCTTAAACCTTGATAACTGTGGATTTTTTTTTTCACAAGTATTTGTTTCATTTTATTTTGATTTGACTTCCTCACGCTTCTGATGGATCGCACTGTAGAAAGCACAGTGTGATCCGATAATGAAGTAGCTGCAATAATGCCAAGAACAACAGTATTTGAGCCAGTTTTTCAGGTCTCAGGCTCGAAAATGACATTCCCAGAACAAATGACCATATCTAAATTAATAATCTTTTTTCTCAAAGTAATGATAAACCTGTGAGTTGGATGTAGAAAAGTCAGAACAATATAGATGTTTTTTATTTTAAAGAAAATTCAGATTTTACATAGTCAAAAACTGTAAATTATAGTGTCCGTCCAAAAATAATTTTTTACTTATAGTGAAAACTACCCTTGGATGATGGTAAGGTAGACTAAAAGCTTTAGGAATCCAAAGTACAACATATAATAAGTACCCTGTATCAAGATTGATGCAAAACAAGTGACATTTGACCTTTTTAGAGAGGTTTAGCCAAAAAAACTCCACCTCTGAGGTGATTTGGGTGGAAATGTTTTTTTTTATAAAATATCTCTGGTCCCCCTTTGTCGATTTTGATGGTTGACACCTCTTTCTGACCGTTAGAGCCAATAGAATCGAAGGGGGATTCCCCCCACACACACGTTGTAAAACAAAAAGGTGGGGGCTTTGCGCATGTAATTTTGCATTAGAGTGAAGATATCTCTCGCTCTGACATCTAGAAACGGAAAAGCAGTCTCATTGCTCATGGATTATCAGAAATCATTTCAAAGGGACAAAGACACATTGGATTAACCTATGGATTAACTTCAGCAGCGTTTTTATCGTTTTAATGCCATTGAAGACCACTTTGGAGAGACTACAGAGACAAGGTAACCATGTTAGCATTTTTAGCTACCTAGCGCCACATGTTTTGATGTCTGTTTTTGTTTATAACGTCACGATTTCATATAATTGAGTGATAATGAGGGTACCCTTCGATTCTGTGTCACCTCACGATGTGAATCGATGTCATGGATGTGGAGAAAAGATAAATAATAAGGTTTTGTGAGTGATTTTCGGTGCAGTAATCTGTTAGCATTTTTCGCTCGTTGCTAATTCAGAGGCTCAGTGTTAGCATTGTGGGTTTAAAAAAAAAAAAAAAGATCAGTTAGATGAGTTTCTTCCCGTTACATGGATATAAAACATTCATAGTTTATTAAATGAACATGCCCTCAGACACTGTTTCCTGCAAGATGTTGCGGCAGTGCCCCGGTACCGGGGTCTCTCGGGCTTAACAGGTTAAAGGACAACTTCTGGTATGAAACACAACAATTATTAAAAAAAATGCTCAGACGAGCAAAATGACAAAAAAGAATTAGACTAAAATTCAGAGATTAACATAGGACTGTAATCAAAACTATGCAAAAATGTAACTAATTATCCAAATCTGCTAATAATGAAATAGGGGAAAAAAAGTTAAATGTAACTTTTTATTAAAAAGGCAATCTTATTTTAAATCAGGTGTACATAATAAACATTGGTTTGTTTAAGGAAACGTGCACTGCTGGCCCACCTCTGTTGGTGCTAATGAACTGATCTACAGTCTATTGCTGGGATTTGTTGACCGAAGTTGGCAGGAATGACATCAAGAAGCAGAGATAGCAAAATATGCTTCCATTCAGAAAGCATGACATAAAACTCAAGAGTTCAAGTAAAAAAGAATATCAAAATGAAAGGATATGTTATGGCGCATTAAATCTTATCAGGCTTCGATTGATTGATTTTTTATTGCGTCAAAGTTATGTCTCGTCTAGTTTACTAAATTAATGTTTTTTTTAAAGGCTTAGTGCCTCAACTGGTTTATTAGCAAACTGCAGTCATGACGGTAGTATAAAACTTGGAAATAAAATCTCAAAAAGTTTGACTGATAGCCGACACAGCCAATAGTTTAAAGACTCCTTTATGTCATTGACTGACTTTGGAATACCGGAGCGTATCCACCCTCTCTCAGCCCTGTGGCCAGTCTCCGTTCCTCCTGAGCCCTTCCAACCCACTGAACTATATAAACATCTAGTGGGACTTTATTTGTATTTTTATAGAGAAGCAAAACCAAATCCCAAATATCCTGACATTCCTTTGGCCACTGCCAATCTAACCAGCTGGCTTTTACAGTCCCTGTTTTTACTGCAGTGAGTAGACCTCCTGGGTGTGGTCCGAACTCACACGCAACAATAAAGTATCTCAAGACCACCTGCACTCCCCTACTGTGCAAAGCCCCGCTTACTTTCTTATATGCTTTATATGTGTTCAATTTTAGGTTGGCAATTTTGTCTTAAGACCACAAAACTTTTCTAAAGAGTGTGTAGCGCTTCACATCCGAAGAGTAAGATGTTATCTAGAAATTGGATATTGCACTGTCAACAGCCATGTAATCCGACATCACAGGGGGATAACTATGTACATGCATACGAGAGCCTGCCTTTTTGAGAAGGATTAAGATACAGATAGAAAAGTCTTAAATATTGTATCGGTACTTCTTTATTATCATCACAATTCTAAAATACAATATAAAAATATATTGAAAATGTGTAAAAAATATTTACTGAGCAAGACATTTTAAAATTGAAAAATAAAGTTGTCAGTTCTCTCTTGTAAATAAATCTGTTTATTGTGATGGAACTACACTGATAGTGTGTAGAAAGCCTTTTAAAGAAATGCTTTATTACTAGCAGCGACAGGGATGGCTGTTTTTTTTTTTTGACCTTGATAGTCTGTGTGTGTCTGTGGACAGATCTTTGTCACAAAACTTAACATACACTATACAGACAAAAGTATTGGAACACTCCTTAATCATTGAATTCAGGTGTTTCGTTCAGTCCCATTGCCACAGGTGTATAAAATCAAGCACCTAGCCATGAAGTCTGTCTTTACAAACATTTGTGAAAGAATGGGTCGTTCTAAAGGGCTCACTGAATTCTAACGTGGTACTGTAATAGGATGCCACCGTTGCAACAAGTAAGTACGTGAAATGTCTTCTCTCCTAGATATTCCACGATAAACTGTAAGTGGTATTATTGCAAAGTGGAAACGTTTAGGAACCACAGCAACTCAGCCACGAAGTGGCAGACCACGTAAAGTGGTAAAGCCTTTTGTGTTCCAGCATGACTGTGCCCCACAAAGCAAGGTCCATAAAGGCATGGTTGGATGAGTTTGGTGTGGAAGAACTGGCCCGCACAGAGCCCTGACCCCCACCCCATTGGACACCTTTGGGATGAACTAGAACGGAGAGCCAGGCCCTCCTGTCCAACATCAGTGTCTGATGTCTACAAACCCTTCCCAGAAGAGTGGAAGCTGTTATAGCTGCAAAGGGGGGACCAACTTCATATTAATGCCTAAGAATTTGGAATGGGATGTCATAAAAGCTCCTGTAGGTGTAATGTGTAGGTAGCCCAATACTTTTGTCTATATAGCAGGGTTTCCCACACATAGACTTTACTTGGGCGGGCCGCCCAGGTATATTAACGGCCGCCCAAGTATATTTCGCGACCCATTTAGGTGTTTTTTTGTTGTTGTTTTTTTTTAATGTTTTTTTTTTCGTCCGCGACCACGACGCCATCTGTGATCGATTAACTTGTGGACAATGATCCCTCGCTCTACGCCTCCTGTACCCAGTCCCGGACTGGCCATCGGGAGGACCGGGGGGTTTCCCGATGGCCTGGCCTGTTAAGTGGCCTGCTGGCCTGAGGATTTTTTAATTTATTTTTTATGTATTATGAACGCAACGCTGCGCAAATCTGGGTCTGCCTCACACAGGGTGACTGGCTGTCTACATGATGTGGCCTGCCGACATGGCCACTGTCATACAGATCATAAATCAAAGCCCTTGATTGGTCTCTGTGTGTTCGGGATAACCTCAGCTCAGGTGAGGTTAAGGACTCTCTGAGTGTTTAGATAGTTAACTTAGTCTAAGTTATCTCAGTGGGTCTCAAACGGTTTGGTCACCATTTATGTAAACACATATTTCCATTTGAGGGGGGAGTGATTAGTAAAATATGCATGAATAAAAAATAAAAAAGTTAACTAGGTGAAAAAAGGTAAGATACACTTTTAAAACGTGTTGAGAGCTAAAACTAGTCTTTGCTGCTGCCTCAAAGAGGAGCAGGGGGGAGAGGGGGGAGACAGGTGAGGCTGGTTCAGGAGCCCAGACACACCCACAACTATAAATGAACCAAAAATAAATAAAGAAACAAGTTTCAGTGTTTTTTCATGAAATGGTATGTTATTGGTTATGGCCATCATTTTATGATTATTGAAATGTATACAGTTCTGTTTCATATGGGTGTTCTGTTCCCATAGATATAGTCTCTTTATTTTCCCCTCAAAATGCACCAGATTGTTGCATTTAACTCCAAAATTAAAAAATAAATCTTACCGGGGGAGCATGCCCCCAGACCCCCCTAGAGGATTTGAGGTCCACCCCCACTTAAAATCACATGGATAGGTTCCTAAATACATTTACAATTTTTTTTAAATAGTAACCCATGTCCATATGTTTATGTGTGGGTAGTAGATTTAAACTCTAGGGCTACCACTATGGACCTTGCCTGTACCTGTTCGCTCTGCCATCGCGTGAAGGGTCTGCTAACAAGCAACCAACAGAAAGGTTAATGTTAATGTTGTTGCATGTCACAAAGGTCCGCAGGTCTCCCTTGAAAAAGAGATCGTTGATCTCAATGGGATTTTTCACCTGGTTAAATAAAGGCTAGAAACAAACAAACAAACAAACAAACAAACAAAAGGCACGTCCCCGCTACCACCACCCCCCCAAGTATATTTCAGATCTGTGGGAAACACTGTATAGTGTATGTGTAGTTAAGATCAAAATGATGTCTCCACCAGCTCCTTTTCAAACACCTGTCTATCGATCTGTGCTTTACTAAAGTCTGTCTGCCAAGCAGTTTATTTACGGTAAGCGTTTTTATTGAAAATAGTTACAGCCAAAAGACGACATGTTACAGCAGAGGTAGTGATAAGTCTGTGTGGGTTTGCTACTACTACAGTTATCCCTCTCACATTACACAGTCATTTGTCGTAGTAGTGCAGTGCCTGTTTGGGAAGTACTTGTTCCTCTGCTCCTCTGGTTACAGATAGATAAGAACTAATTAACTGTATTGTTCAGGGGCCACATGTTTAGAAAGTCTAGGGACCAGGGACAGACATTCCCCTAAACTGTTATTCTGAGGGGGTAGATTGACCCACTACTAGACCCTTCTTCAGCCTTATGACCACCTTCTTGTTTGCTAGTTTGTGTTTATTGGGTAGCATTTTCGATATGCACCTTGATTATAGCACATGTTTTTCATCATAGGATGAGAAAGCTCAAGATCTACGCTCCTCACCATGGGCGCTTGGTAACGTTTTTAACTGTAGGACCAATGGCGGGGGTCATCACTCAATACAAAATAATGTAAGACATTTTTTGCACTTCTTCAGTCAAGAATCAGCCATGTTATTAACAATTCTGTCAATAACAAATTTCACAAATAGATTTGTGTATCTGTCTATATTTGGAAAGTTCAGATACAACTAGAGAATGCAATTCCTGAAGAAATTGCTAATGGGAATGCTTTATGCTGAAAAGCTGACACTAAACTGCTATGCTGAAATGTAATGTGTAAGAAGAAAGTGAAGAATTTAGATGATACATGAACACTGGAGGCTTGAATGTGTGATGAGAGAAGAAAAGAAAGTAAAAAGGCTTGGAAAAGCAGCAGAATATTTGAACTGCAAACCTTTGAACTAACTTGATGGCGAATGATCTGTCGCCATGCCAACGGCATTTGATGACATCCCATAATACGCTTAGATGCGTTACCAAGCCTGTGAAGTTTTGGGCCGTTTGGAGCATTTTCACTGAAGTTATGAGAAAACCATGTTTCATGGTGAGCATTGTGTTGCCATGGCAACGGCATTTGAAGAAATCTCAAAACTGTCCTCTGAGGTGATTTGGGTGAGAATGTTTTTTTTCTTCATATCTCTGGCCCCCATTGGTCGATTTTGATGGTTGACACCTCTTTCTGACCGTTAGAGCCAATAGAATCGAAGGGGGAAGCCCCCACACACACTCGTTGTGAGAACAAACGGTGGGGGCTTCCCGCATGCAGGTTTGCACCAGAGTGAAGCGATCTCTCGCTCTGACATTTGGAAACTAAAAAGCAGTTTTATTGCTTATGGATTATCAGAAATCATTTCAAAGAGGACACAGACACATTGGATTAATCTATGGATTAACTGCAGCATCGTTTTTTATCGTTTTAATGCCATTGAAGACCAGTTTTGACCAAGGTAAGCCATGTTAGCGTTTGTAGCTACCTAGCGCCACATGTTTTGATGTACGTTTTTGTTTATAGCGTCGCAAATGTTTCTCACTGAGTGTTGAGGTGGGCACCCCCAGATTCTGTGTCTCCAGGAGATGCTAATCGATGGGTTGGCTGTGCATCTAGGATAAGTAATAAGGGAGTTATGAGTGAGTTTAGGTGCAGTGATAGGTTACATTTTTTCGCTCGTGGCTAATTCAGAGGCTGAGTGTTAGCATTGTGGGTTTTTTTTGGAAAAAAAAATTAAAAAGATCAGTTAGCTGAGTTTCTTCCCGTTACATGGATATAAAACATTCATAGTTTATTAAATATTAAGATTCCTTAGACATTGTTTCCTGCAAATGACGCGTTTATCCACCCGGTACCGGGGGGGGCGGTGCGTAACAGGTTAATTCGATTTTTCAAGCTACGAGATGTTTTCCTACGTTTCTCATGAAAAATGATGTCTCAGGAATGTAGGGTTTGGGAATTATGGCAGGTTTAAAAGAAAATATGAAGGCAAAATTAAATCTATTAATAATAAATAAATAAATAAATAATCCAAAAATCAGCTCCTAAATTCTAACCCTATCGTCTATTCCTTGACCTCTGAGTGAAACGTCATGGGGTTAAGGGATAGTGGATAGGAGAATTCAAAAGGATTTAGGAGAAGAGACTGCGGCGCTTTAGAGAATCGACTGCACTTTCACTATCCGACGTGTTTATGATGCACCAGCGGAGGTCATAAATGTGCGCCTGCTGCTGTGGGGAAACTATGGAAACTACAGTTTTCTATCCAGCGGACTACAACATGGATGTTTAATAAGAACGAGGGACTACTGTAAACTCATCTAGAGACTCTGCACCGTGCTCTGATGCTGTTGTTTTATGCTTTATGAACGGGGACAACAGAGAAACATATTCTTCATGACCAAAGTTGGAATTGAAATAAAAAAGGAAAGTGAAACTTATGCTCGTCACCCTCTCCCTCCGGTCCACATTAATACAAATGATCCCAATACGTATGATTGTATGAACTATGAAAAGATCTTAAAATCAATACAAATGTATTTATTATAAACGTTAGTCTTTAACATCTATCACTGTGTATATCACCATTCAAACATCGACTTCAGCCTCTGTCTGTAGCTTTAAATGAGCTGCTGTTGGCCACGCCCCTCTGCGAAGTGATTGGTTCAAAACCAAAAATGGTGCTCTAGGAGGAGATGCAGGTGATAAGGTGGGCAGGTGTTACCTTGTTTGGTTTTGGCTAATGGTTACACAAGCCAACAAACTGTGGTGACATCATAAAGTGGCCAATCTGATCAGCTCATTTTCAGACCGTTTTTTATATAAATGGATCAGGACAAAAGGAAAGAGGATATTTTGTCCTGGAACTTTCTGAATCCCTTAACAGAGGGGACACATGTTTATGTATAAAAGACATGAAAAAGTGGATTTTGCATAATAGGTGACCTTTAAAAAAAGAAATGCTGTGTCGTGTCAAAGTAGTCTCAGTGAAAAGAATGTAACTCTCGATGGACTCCTTTTCCCTTCCTTCCATTACACATTCATGACAAAAACGATTTGCATCTTTTCTCAGTTTTCCACATTTTTGTCCTAAAATCCTATCATCAATCAGAGCTGTTACACTGATGATTATTGTGCAGGCTGGCTACAATTTGTATCAGGTTAACTTCAGGAACATTCACTCTAAGTAACAGGCCATTTGTAAACTTTTTCCACATGGGGGAAGGGTATCGTGCATATACACATTTCTTCAAAATCGTGACAAATCTGTTATGAAATATTTGTTGCAAACAAAATACATTTTCCATTATTTGTCATCATGATGACTCACCCTTCATGAATGAACTCCTCCAGAGCAGCACACTCAGACACCAGCTGAGGACACTGGCAGCGCAGAGCCACAAAGGACAGGATGGGCAGCAGGTCATCTGCACCGCTGTTCACCAAAGGAAGGAAGTTGGGGTTGAGATCAAGTCAAATAAGTAAATAAATAGAGCACAAAGTAAAATAAAAATGGTGACATTGAAAGAGAATGATTGCATGTGCTCCCCAGGGGTCTGAATGGAAACTAAATAAAAAGGAGTTCTAAATGGTTTGCGTGTTCAGGGATGGGAATGATAAAGCTTTTTTCTCCCTCTATGATCTGATGGGAGGTCAAATTGCAGCCTTGGAGATGATGAGAGCCTGATAGCATTCTCCCTGTGTGCAGACACTAACCATTTGTTTATCAGGACTCACACGCAGGGCTAACTGCTTGCTTGCTAGTTTGCGTGAGAAGGTAGGTTTCTGGCCCTCCACTGACCCGGCCCCATGCAACTGGATACTCTCCTCCAACAGGATTGTGGAGGCGTGGACAGCCTCTTGTAACCACTGAGACCTCACATACACAATCACAAGCCTGAATTATAATGTTGTGAGTTCACTACAGTAAACACAGACACTGATCCCCTCACACTGAAACTGGTGTCTCTGCATTCCAAAGATACAATGCACTCTCCCCACATGCATGAACGCTGATTTTAATGAGAAGATTAGGCTCCATTATGGGTAATGGAATTCATTTCATATTAGTGAAACGAGTAAAGAAAAATGCAAAAAAGCGTAGAGGGAAAAGGGATACAGAGGAAAATGTAGCAGCACAATAGAAAAGAGAAAGAAAGGGTTGGAGACAAAAGAACACAATAGAACAAATGAGCTCCCAGTTGGTCAAGGACAAAGAACTGACAAGAAATGGAAATGCTGTTGAAGGAATTAAAGAGGGCAGTGAGTACAATACAACAAATGTGTGTGTGTGAAACTAAAGTGAAAGGCAGCAGCAAAAAAAACAAAACAATGCTAAGCGCAGGTATGCAATATATACAAAATACACAAATCCCTGATGAACAGAACACTGTAGCACCAAATGGCATCGGAATCAGGCCTGGTCAAAAACACACTGTGTGCAGTGACACACATAAATGCAACCTGTATTTAGATGGACAAAAAAAAAAGCATTCACATATACAGAGAGCCATAAGTCAGTTTGCTCCTGAATGAAGGTTTTATTTCATTAGAGCTGCCAGTGGCCACAGCTAGATATGCCATTATGAAATGATGAGCTAGTAGCTGTTCATGCATAAAGCTGCAATTACTTTTTTTTCCCAAAGATAATCGAGACTATATCCTGAGATGTCAGACTCTTGGTTTCAACTAAATAAACATGGAAAAAATAAATGATTCATTCAGATCCCTTCCAGGGTTTGGCCATGTTTGAGTCATGCTTCCAGGTAACAAAACAAATTCCATGATTCACTTTTGATTTGTTGTAACAAGACGTTGTTACCAAGTTACACCAGAGTACAGAATAATCCTTTAACGTCACAACTTTTTGGGAGACAAACCTTCGAGGAGTCATGCCCGGTCAACTCTACTTTTATTCCGCCGTCTCTGATTACTTCACAGATATTCCAACACAAGCAGACAGATATGGAGCAGGAGACATAGCCAGTCTCAAAACTTTAAGGGTTGCTATACACACACACAAGATTTGACAAGCCTTAATGATAAGTTATTATACACACACATATTATATCTGGTTTTGTTAGTGACATCCTATTGGTTAATTGTTGAATGCCCTGTTCAAAAATAATCTGACTCATAAAGACTGGCTTGCCAAACAACCCAGTAAAAGCTTCTATTTTAGATTTCCATCCACTTTATGAAAGTAGCTCTACATTTGTTTACAATCATAATTATCAGAGGATAATATGAAGCCACAAACAGATGAGCCACAATGGAACAAACATAAATGGATGCTGAAGACAATGTTAAAGCCAAACTGTGTGCTGTCCACAATGTGTGCCACAACCCACTGAGCCTTTGTCAAACCCTCTGTGTATCATCACAGATTTCACAAAAAACTCCCATGTATTTTTTTCCTGGGTCTGCTCCAAACCCAGACAGGTCGACCCAATTTTAGGCCTGGCAAGGAAGAGGCATTCTATAGGGGGGCAACAGAGCCAGGAGAGCCCCTGCTGTGCCGGGCCTAACGGAGCACTGATGAGACCTGACAGGGCTGCTACCCAGGCAGAGATCTTAAATGGTGTTTGGGTTCTTGCACTGAACAGTCATTCCCTCCCCAGCATCAGCATGGAGTCCATGGAGAAAGGGCTCTTATTTTGAAGTTTAATGATGCGTTTGAATAACGAATAACAGAATAGAACACACCTGAGAAACTACACTGTTCTGTATAATCTTACTAGATAAATCCTTACACTGTTGTATTGTATCGGTTTAAATATCATATTTAAAATGTGCCCCTCAGTCCCTCAGCGTGTATTTGTATTTGCTTCAGAGACAAAGAGTTTGCTGTTGTTGCAGCTGATGGATTACTCACATGGCGGCTGTTTTTGGTGTGGAGTCCACATCATGAAGACACCTGTAGTCCTCAGCGCAGGCACAGATCAGACGTAATGTCCTAACTGTAAAACAAAAATCACACAAGAAAAAAAGTGTATTAATATAATCACAATATGCAGATCCAAAAAGTAAAGCCCACATTTCCGAGATAACTATCAGGTGATGCTCATCAGTAAACCAGTGAAATCAAGTTCCAATGACATCTTCATTTACATTACAGGATAAACTGAGACTTTATTCTAAACACGACTGAAACTGGAAATCAGGTCATGGTAAAAGATACCCATTTACTTATTTGTAGTTTCCTTCCACTGAGGCTATAGTTTAGAGCATATTCGTTTGGAGAAAAGTGAAGGTAAATCTAACTATACATTCACAGTAATAAGACCATAAATTCACTGCTGAAAAGATTCATCAGAAGGTTTTTTAGTAGGCTATAACACAAACAGGCTTCCTGAGGGAATCACATAGTTCATCTACTGTAAGAGTTTAACACTGCATAGAGAAGAACTTGCTGCTATATTGTTCTGGTATAAAAATATGTAGGGAACCGGTACAGATGATCTGGCCGACATGTCGACTAATGTAAAATCTACCTTATATCATAGATATCATTTGAAAGGTTTTGCAAAATTGACGCTTGACAATTATAACACATTGAGCTTACTAACTACTGTAGGGAGTAGCAGTTTGATGCTGCAGGATGAAACTCCACTGACAAAACAATCCTACTTCCAAAACAAACATTGTATACTAACTTGCTTGTGTGAACTAAATGTTACACTTTGTAATACCTTCTGAGGCAGGCATGTCAAACACAAGGCCCGCGGGCCAAATCCGGCCCACCATCTAATGTTATCGCAACATTCACACGATTCAAAAATATATTTTTTAAAGCTTGTCAAGGCATTTCTGCCATCACTGTCTTATGTCACTGATTGGCTGAATATAATGAATGACATGCTGATCGTAACACAAAAGGGTCCAGGACAAGGGGTTTTCGTCACATTTTAAATAAAAACAAAGTCTTGTCATAAGATTACAAAATTATTATAGCCAAATTGAGATGATAAATACAGATCCTGATTTACTTTGCAACATCTCTCACAGAACCTGAGAGAAAACACACAGTCCACATGGTTTCGGGCTGAATTGAACCATCAGGTGAGAAGCTATCTGTCCTGAAAGTCAGCCTTGGGTGAGGGAGAATAAAACAACACAATGTGACTCACCAATGCATTCCAACTTCCTCTGTGGACAGCAGTCTTTGAGCAGGAGCTTCAGTTCCTGCACAGCAGACTCATATGGGTAGGAACCTTGCTGGGCGTCAGAGTCTTCGGGGAATAGTTTGGAGGGAACACCAACATCTCCAGGTGAAACATCCTGGTACAGCTTCATACTCGTCTCAAAGGCCTGCTCCCTTTCTCTGTAGACCCTCCTGAGAAGGAAAGAAAAGAGCTAACTACACTGAAAAAAAGTGGGGGAAACATTTCAACAATGTATTAAAGTGAGGCTGTCAGGCTTTTTGGAAGATGAATGGTATTTGCGATTAAGTCGGCATTACATAATCTTTAAAAATTGTACACAGTTCATTGTTGTGCATTCCACATTTTATTGTTAGCAAGATAAGAAATCATCAATGGTAATTTATTCACAGAACATTTAAAAAAAATATATATGGTGATGGTGCAGAAGTCTATTTGTAATGGCTTGAGCATTTCAATTAAACAATTTGACAGTGTTCCTGGGGGGGAAGCCTGCTGGGATTGTCATACTTGCAGTGCCACCATCAACTCCTATTGGTTGGTCTGGGCAAGGGACTGGGAACCTCCCACTTGTTAGGTCAATGTTTCTTTCAATTGGAAGCTGCAGAGACGTTGCAGGGGGGCATTTGACCAGGGGGAACTTAGGTCAAATCGTTTTTAGTTTTTTGACAAAGGAGTAAGTAAATTATTTATTCATTACTAAATTGCAATGCAAAATACTAAACTGAAACATTGTTAATAACATTACTTACGCCTGTGCTTTTCCTATCATAATAAATGTCAATAAATGACAGTCCACGAAGATGTATCCGAGTATGAAAAGGATATGAAAAAATGTAGGGCAAGGTGGACAACATTTTGACATGGGTCAGTTACTTTACACTTTTGGTCTATACACTGTGAAACCAGGAGGTCCTCTTTCAGTTAAGTAATGCAGAACACATCATAACACATTCCAAAATGGTATAGAAAAGTTTCATGGTGTTGTGAGAAGAGGTACATGTACATTTACCTCAGAAATGGTCGTACAAATAACAACTGATCATTTAAAAAACGATTTGAAGTTAAAACCAGCAATAAAGCTAAAGGAAAAGCTGACATACTTAGAGCAGCACTGCCACATGCTGGTCATGACTAACACTGTATATCCAGGAAACAATTGATGTCAAACTTTCATTTTTGATTAAGAGTATATTAATAAACCTTAACCACTAATGCCTGGAGCCTCTGACATTTTCTTTTTACGGTTAAGACGTTTTTTTTATAACACAAACCGCATAGCCTGCGACTTGTTCAATTCAACATAACCAAACCTCAAACAAAAAGTAAATCAATGCATCAACATTCCATGAGCATTTCCTCTGCTGTATGCTGCCGTCTTGCGCATGCAAGCTAATTCAATTCAGATTATGTATACCGCTATATAACAATTCACAAAGCAAGTTGTTATTAGCTCATAGCTGGCAGAAGATATTATTTCTGTCAACATTTCTGATCCTACCAATCAAAGGATTTTGTTAACCCAAACCTAAGATAAATAAAGATTTTAGTGAGTGGTTTTCCAAGATTAATTTGGCAAACTGCTGAATCAGATAAGTCGTTTTGATGTTTTTGATTGGCACTTATTCATACTTCAATCAAGCAGAGCCAACTGAACCACTGCATATTCATTTTTGCAAAAGCATTAAGAAATATTTATTGCTAATAAAATAACTAAATGTTTAAACTTCAAGGCACTGTGTCAGGAATTCCTGCTACCAACACCCAGTTTGTAATATTGCAAATGCAATTGCCATTAGCGGGCCATAATAAGTAACATGCATTACCTGATATGGGATCGATAGTGATAATATTTAAATTAAAATGTTCAAGGTCATCTTAATGGATGAACATGTTTAAGTTAACAAGGATTTTAGTTGAGGATGTTTTATTAAGGCAGTATTTAGGCTATAGTACCTGAAGAGAGCCACCAGCGCGCTCCAGAGTGGCGTGAAGAAGGCTTCCTCTATGCTGGCCAGGCACAGGTCTTTAGAGTTGGCTGTGTTGAGGCACTCAAAGGAGAGCAAACACAGGGACAGAAGTTGATCTGAAACAAATAAAGAAGACCCCCAAAAAATTATTATCCAAACAGTTTCACACTGACTGATGTCAACATCAACTAAAAATTGTTGCTTAAAATCAACATAAGACATTTTCTATGCTTGAAAAAGAAACCGTACAGTATTGCAATACAACAATGTACAAGTGTTTGTCTACCGCTTAACAGTCAAAACTCCTCCACCAGTTGAGAATCTGCTGAAGGATTGTAAGTCAACCTTTTGAGAGACTCTATGAATCAGCCTACCATAACAACATATTAAGGCTGGCCAACAACATCATCTCTGACCCCAACCGTGTCCTGAACAGCAAATATGAAGTGTTGCCATCAAATCAGAGATACAAGGTCCCATGATTTTATAAGGTCAGACTGAAGCATTAAATACACAGTTAAATGTACGTTGGACGGTCTTGAGCATGTTTCATTTCAGTGATTGTGAAGTTATGTTAAATGTCTGTTTCTATGTATCTTGTCTTAAATGTTTGTCCTTGATGATGTTGCAAATGCAGCTGCTGTGAGGCAAGAATAAAATTGTTGGACTCAATGACAGAGTATTATCGTATCGGACATGGTCTATATTTGTGCTCACCGATTGCAATATGAATGTCTTTGACCACAGCCTTCAGATGTTCTTTCAGCGCTCTCATCTCCAGCTCCTGGAGGCTGCCCTCGTCCTGCTCCGGCTGCAGCGACGGATCACAGGTCCCCTCCGAGTCCTCTGTGCTGCTGTGGAGCGGGGCCCAGTCTAGCTGGGTCAGGAACTGCTCCAGATCTTCAAACGAGTTCTCCCGATCCACTGTCGCCTGTGAGTGAAGCTCCTCCTCTACCTCATCATCATAGTTGGTGGAGTGGTCGTGAGAGAGTGAGGGGGAGAGGGAGGAGGCCATGCTGAAGCTCTGGCCGCCAACACTGCTGCCTCTGGTCGTCTTCTTCTCTGTGTGATCAATAACATTTCAGAAATGTATTAATGCTAATGTAGCACCCCCTAGTGATGTTGATGCAGTGGCGAGCCGTGACTTTTATACCTAGGCCCTCTGACCCCCCACCCCTTCCCCCGAAAAATAAAAACAAGAGTTATTACGTCACAGCGTATACTTCAGCGGAATATCAAAACAACGGCCCGGGGTGCAAAACGCATCAATGAAAGCGACCCTCTACCACACAGAACAACACCTGTAAATAACCCAATTTGTGTTCTTTGAAATTGAAAAGGATATTGCATTGTGTTTGTTACTTTTATTTTGAAGGCGAGGCCTAGAGGGCCCTGACGGCTCGCCACTGCTCAAAATACAAGATACGAAACATGTTCAACCGTGCAACAAAATATAAATAGTCCCACAAACATTTTTATTTGATTTCCTTCTTATTTTTGTCTAAGTTCAAGGGAGCCAGAGTAGAGGGCTTAAAGAGCCGCATGCGGCTCAAGAGCCGCGGGTTGCCGACCTCTGACCTGGCTGCCATCACACTACTTAATACATGCTCCACTTGTTTATTTTTTTTTTTTTTTAAATACGGTTACTGGTCCTTGATGTGTATTTTTGTAAATTGTAATTTGTGTAATTTCTATTTTTATCTTTAATATATTATGCATGCCTGTTAAATATTATTTTGCGACATTTACTTTTACTGTAACAATGTAAATGTCCCCTCTGTGGGACGAATCAAGGTATTCTGATCTACTGGCTTGGTTTCACTGACACCATTTTATTTAGGTACAAAATCATCAGTCCGTAAACGAATAAGACATAAGCTGAGGAACCTCACAAACCGCTGGTACTGGCCCTACCTGGGTGAGGAAGGTGAGTGCTGCGAGAAGGTGTCAGCGGGCATGAAGGACTCTGGACGAGACCTTTACTGACGATGGGGTAGAGTCTGTTGTAAACCCGGTACTGGTGTTTCCTTAGCAGCTTCACCACTGGGTGGTCAGCCCGGCTGAGGACACAGAACAAATGTTATTTCAACATCATCATCTGTTACCAAGCATGATGACATTATCCCATAACCATTCTAATTCCTCCTATTTATATATACAATTGTATAGATCGTAGGCATTTTATTATTACTTATTGTTAAGCTTGACAGCATCGAGAGAGACGGTAAAAAACAACTTATGTGTACACATACTTATCTCGGTTATATCATTAATTGATTTGAGCGTGTAGCCTATGGTAACTCTTGTGTCAAACTAGGTGGAAGCCTGTCTAAAGATAACAAAGGAGAAACAAACACCTCTGAGCCGTCAAGTATTGACAGGCCTGACGCAATACAACTAAGACAGAGCTAACCTTTTGAAAAATCTGTTGGTGTGATGGCGCAACAAAAGCCATTATTAAGGCCCGTTTATAAATATAAGCTAAAAGTTGAAATAAGATGAATGTACAAGCATGTGCAGTATTCCTGTTTTATGGTCACATGGGGAGTTTGAACACCAGATGAAGCACCAAAACTGTAATTGCACGGTTGAGCAAACTGTGATCCAAGTTTTTCATCCATTACATAACTACACAGTTGTGTATATGATATGAAATTAAACCTTTTGAATCTTGAATATAGATCAAGTTTTTAAATTGTCATAGTAACAAAGATATTATGCAATGTTTGTAAGAACAAGGACTTTCAGGGACTTCCAACGCTCAGAAATAAAACACATATCCTGTAATTCTATGCACTAAACCACAAGAATTACTTGTGAAAAATAATCAAATTTCAAATGCACATGTTGCATTCAGATACCTGAGTAGGTAGGAGACTAGACCTGATACTAATGTGACATCATCAGGATTTTTCTTCATGTTGGCTTTCCACAGTTTAGGCCAATCCTGTAGAACACACAAACATCGATAAATGACTTGAAGACAATATCTATAATTTCATCAACAATGCTCATTACTGGATACATTTGAGCCCAACTCAGCAACATCAAATGTATCGATTAGTTCTTAATTGATTAATTTGTGTTTAAAGTTGTGCGACAACATAGTATGAGAAGCATGTAAGCATAAAGTTATTTTATTTTAAGCATTTTTGTATAATTATACACTGAATATTTCCCGAGACAACTGCCATTAGTTTTGATATATGTGTGGCGATTACTTGCAAACTTACATGGTCCTGCTCATATTCCAGTACATTGGTATAGAGAATGCGCTGCTCTTGTTCCTCTGCCCCAGATGCTGAAAATCTCCTGTAATGAAAATATGAAATGACATTCACACTTGCAGCCAAACCTGTGGTAGTTTCTTTTTTTTTTTGACAGCCTTGACTACTGAATTAAACATAAAAATATAAGTGTGGGACATGCAGATTCATCCAACTGATCTGTTTTTTGCTAAAATCACCAGGTACAGTATAATGTGAAGGTGTAACATTTTTGAGTGTTTTTTTTTGTAAATAGCAAAAGTGACCCAAGAGTAGACCATCTTTGAAACATTGTGGCTCATTGTGATCATTTTCCCAGAATGTATTGAGTGCATAAACCTTCAACACAATAACAAAACACAAACAGTCTATTTATTTAGTGTACAGTATTTGTAGACTAGATACATGTCCACTAAGCAAACATTCAAGTCTAATTTAACTAACTTTGAGTACCTTTGTCAATACATCTTTTTTTTAAGTAGTTGAAGAATGAAGGCAGAAGCTAAAACTGAATAAAGTGTATGTGTGTTTGAGAATAGTGGGGTACCTGTTGGCCTCTTCCTGCAGTCTTAGTCTTCTCTCCTCCATCTTCCGCTGGAGCTAATGTCACAACAAGCATTAAGGGTACTTCCATCCATCATAGTTCTTACAAGGATCAGCTATACAGGATTATGTTTTTAAAACAGATGTATACATCACAAGGATACAGCATCCTGCCTGGCTTTGGCTATGATGAGGTTCTCCATCATCTGCCGCTGGAGAGACAGCGTCTGCATTGGAGAAGAGGAAATTACTTAAATGCATCACACAAATAAACACGTAAATATTATGTTAAGCTGAATCAATGTTTTTTATTTTTAAATTAGAACAAGATGTCAGTCAGTAAACTCCAACAAACTGAGGTAAAAAAAAAAAGGAAGGCCGTGTAATGTGAAGCCAGTTCCAGTTCTATTTATAACTACACATTATATTAAAAAAGTGAGTGATGCTTTACAATCTGCACAGCACCAGGGATAGGGAAAACACACAGGTAAAAAGCCTATAAAGTATACTGTCAACCATTACAGCAAGACGGCAATAAGTACAAGCTATGACCAGAGTTTGCATCACCAAGAAGGTTTCCAAACGTCCAAACACCAACAACATACTGTGAATTCTGTCATACAGTTACAGTGAACCAACAGCAGCAGCTCAGTGCTGTTCCCTCCTGACCGTGGAGTCACAACATTTCATTAGACTTCAACCACTTTTACCCAAGTACTGTACACATGTAATGTAAACATTTGAGATAATTGTACTTTCCCCAAGTATTTTCATTTCATACTATTTTATACTTCTACTCTATTGTACTTTTTTCTCCAATACATGTATAGAGTGGTGCAGTGACGCGTCCTAAAACCCGGAAGTAAGCTGCGCATGGGCAATGGGATTTCTCTATAGGATTTTGGAAAATAGCTGGAAATAAGGTCTGTGGAAAACGAACCTGTTAGATAAATGCACGTTTTGTTCAGCCGGATAATATCCACATGTCTACCCTACTTTTATAATTTTCCAATCATAAATTTATCGATTAGATTATAAATTCAGATTTTGCCACACAACACTTTAAACAACTGTTAAAATATGATTATTTGGTATAGATTAAACCATCCAACATTATAATTGAGTGACTAAAATCATGAGTAGGACATTTTAAATTAAAAAAATTAAAAAGCTTAAAAAGTATTTTACAGTCCCAGCTTCTTAAATGTGAAGATGTGCTGCTTTCGATTTAAAATATTTCAATATTTTTTGTGCAATAGTACATTTTCCTAATCGTACTTATTTTACTTAAGTACCATTTTCGAGTAGAAGTACACAATCTGAATACTATTTACACCACTTTCGCTATATGAAAACGTTTTTTAAAAAAACTTGTAGAATATTGTTTTGTGCTCTTTGAACTACTTTTATGATTTACTCCTCTAAAAATGTGATTTTTTTTTAGGCACGCGCAGAACAACCACACTTCAGAGGGTTCGGTGTTTCCTGCGTGGCGCCGTTAGCTGATGTGACTTTACCTTTACAAACGCCTTTAGTTTCCTCCAGTAAGCACGCAGCTCCACTTGACGCATTTTTGGAATCTGAATAACAAGTTATCATTCATTTAAAAAACTTCCATAGAACACAACGAATGAAGCGTTGCAGCGTAACAAATTATGTCTCTCGCTTACCATCTTTTCTATGACTGGAGAGATAGGAATAAGAGTAGAGGGAGTTCAGCTCTACAGCTTAGAGTGTTGTCTAGCCTTAAATACCCCATGTAGTACAGGGCTCTGCACACAGCACACTCCCCTTCACCTAACCTAATCAACAAGACGCGTCAGCCTAACGTAGATACCAAACCGGAAGTACCAATCCAAAATAAAAGCACACACGATGTCGCTTAAAATGTTGATACACCATTATTTTAAACACACTTTAGTCTGATGTTGAGTATTTTTTTTAAAGAAAATAAACTTTAATGGTGATGGATTTGTTACAAACTAATTTTATTTTGGGGAAAATTTCACATCACAAGAAGAAATGGACAGACTAAACCAAAATGAGCAAATGTGTACTTAGAATGATTTCAGTATGGCACCACTATTACAAATATTAAAAATAAGAATTTTCTTTGTATTTTTTTATCCTGTATTTGTACCGGTTTACCCCTGATGTCAATCATTTGTGCGTATATTTGTTTGGTGTACATATATATTTTCTTAAATAAAGAGGAAAAAAACGATTGGAACACACATGCAATAATTGTTTTTCAAGCTATATGACCTGCATCCAAAATTAGAAAATAATTCAAGTGAGCAATCATGTGACGTGACTAATTAAATATACAAGAGTAAAGGATTGCATTTTAAATCTTCACACATGTACACAGCACCGCACACACACTGTGAAATGTAGACACTGCATTTAACCCATCATAGTTTTGGAGCAGTGCACAGCTATATACAGAGCCCAGGGAGCAGTGTAAGGAGGACCCCTGGCCTTGCTCATTGGTACCTCAGCAGTTCCCATGAGGTGAACTGTCACCTCTCAAAATGTACCAGTCCACATTCCGTATTTGGTCCTTATACCAAGGACTGAGCTCCTGCTGCCATTTATCTAAGACGTCTTGTGATTTTATAACAAAAATAGTGGCTTTAGGTGACATTGCTACTGTATCACTGACTGATGACAACCTGAAGACCAATACCAGGTGACACATCGTAGTGATATGATGTTTCCTGCCTTCACAGGTTGAGGAGAATTACCTGAACACTTTATTAGATCACTGACTGACCTTTGAGATACTGAGAGCCACGCAGCAGACACTGGGAATGTCATCCAAATCTGGGTAAGAGAAAGTCAGATTTCTTTGGCTAGACTTAAAGAAACCTTTGAAATGGGAGAGACTTTGTCGGCCCTTTATGATGTATTATGTTCAGTCTCAAAATGTAGTCTCCAAGGGATGAAGGTCCTAACCTGGGACATAGTTACTGTTTTTTCTTAGGATGATGAAAACACATTAAGGAATCATAACTTTAAGCATATTAAATCTTCAGTAATAGTATCTGTCTTACACATTTAATTTACAAAATGAATCACATGTATTTTGTCTCGATTACACAATGACTGCATCCATTCAGAAAAGTGCACTCGGTGCACTAAAAAGTTTGTTATCATATCATTGACACGCTTTGTGCCTTTGTTGAACTGCTCATTTAACCTAAACGAATACTGTAGGATCTCTGAACCTCACATGTTAAAACAGGCAGTACATGCTGTGACATGAGAAGATGTACTATGTCTGAATGGATTCTGTGAGGTCAGGAACAGATTCAGTATTACACACATTACAGGCAATAACATGTCACCCTGGTTCAAAGTCTAAAACATCTGCCGGTCAACTGCCGGTCTTTAGAAAGTACGTTTAAATGACAGACAGGCACCCGTTCAGACGGCACTAGTATTGTTGAGGTCCAGTTTAAACATGTTGGCCCCTCCCTGCAGGGACACGTAGGTGCCCGATGATCACAGGAGTCAGGAAGAAACCCAATCATTATCAGAAATAAGGAAAAAATAGACATTTTGTCTATTATGTAAGTTTAAAATAAATTAACTAATTGAATGCGATGAGATAAAAACTAGATGAAGTTACCTCTCAGCCTTTGGTAGATTTGTCTCTCTATTCTTTCTCTGGAATTGCATAATAAATATCCCTTATATTGACAAAAAAGTAAATGGATACATTCTCACACGTTTTTTATAAACTTTGAAAAACAAATGTTCTTAACATTTTTGATAATTGGACTGAGTGGCAGATATAACTCTGTTTTGGAAGTTTTGTGCATGGCACAGTACAGCGTTTGGAAAAAAGGTATTTACGTTTCTGAAATAGGAGGAGGTCATGTGTGAAGGTACATTTTAATAACTCCAAACAGAGTGCAACTAGTACCATAATGCATCATTGAAAATGGTTTGTGTTTACAAAAAGCACTTCTGATCTTTAAGACTCCTCAAAGTGCTTTACATACACAAGTGTCCACACACACACACACACACACACACACACACACACACACACACACACACACACACACACACACACACACACACACACACACACACACACACACACACACACACACACACACACACACACACACACACACACACACACACACACACACACACACACACACACACACACACACACACACACACACACACACACACACACACACACACACACACACACACACACACACACACACACACACACACACACACACACACACACACACACACACACACACACACACACACAACTTACCAAAGACGTCTTCTGGTAGGCCTTGCCAGGGGGGAGCCTTGCCAGACGAGCTTCATAATTGGCTTTCAACTTCTGGTTCAAACGTGATGCTTCTTCAATGGGTGTCAGCTCCCTGCAGTGCACAAATACACACACAGGCAAACACACACACAACATACAATTAAGCAAAATCTTACCTGTTGGGTGTGTCAAAGGAAAATAAATAAATATTTCTGCACCTCCTACAAAAAAAAGGCTCATGAAACCACCAATAACATCCACATACGGCACAACAGGATTTTGCCTGTTCAATGTTATATATTTTGTCACTTTTCAATTCCCTCGATATCCTAAGAGAAAGAGAGACATTGAACGAGGATGGCTGTGAGAGAGAGCGACCATGGAAACCGTATTAAGGACTTAAATGTTTGTAATTCCGACCCCAGGTTTAAAATGACTTTAAGTGAATTTAAGAGTCATTGTGAGTGTAAGAATGTGTTTGATGTTTCAACCTGGTGGCTCAACTCCGAACATTGTGATCTAAATGGAAACTAGAGGTAACTGGTTCTTGTGGCCCTACTTTTTGCTTATGTCCTGTGACTGCACTGTTTGTAGTCTCTGGAAGACTTCAGGAGGCAGAAAAGAGGAGAGCTCCCCGGTTCCATCTGACAACACCCTGTAGTGACCCGTCTTTGTCGGGCTGGTTGATTTATGCCCTGTGTCAACAGGAGTATCAGATGACGGGGCTGTGACTGCAGGAGGGAAACAGAGAGACAAAAAGCGGTGATTGGCTTAGAAACAAATCATGTGCAAACACATTGGCTTATTTTGATTTGTGACCTCTGGGGCAGGCTCTTAGTTAGCAGTGATTGAACTGTATGATAATAAAAGAAAGGTCCTGATTGGATGATGCACTCACCAGGGTTAGCAGTGGTGTCTGTGAGGACAGCAGTCTGGTTGGGCTCTGATTGGCCAGGGGAAGAGGAAAAGGGAGCGGAGCCGGAGGCAGAGAGGTCAGCTCTCTTACCTATGAAAGACTTGACTCGCTCTAGACATTGTTCAGCCAACCTCAACATGCGCCCCACCTCCACTGCTACCACCTCCCCATCATCTGAGGATGGGACAGAAAGGAAGACAGAGAACGTCACTCCTCGATGATTGATCAAATAATAATAAGGTCATCACATGGTTTCCAATTAATCAACCAAATGTTTGTTTATGTAGCCCAATATCACAACTTACACATTTGTCACAGGGTGTACACAACACCCTCTCTCCTTAGACCCTTGCAGCGCACAAGGAACAATTCCATAATAATGGGGAAGAAACCTCGGGGAGAGGTTCAGGATGGTTCAATATATAGAGTTGTTTGTACAGGGCATCAGGCAGGACCAAAGCAACAAGTGTAGCCACAACTATCATCCAGACCTTTAATACTGACAACCTGCCAGGTGAGAGACACAAAAACTGTAGGGATGGTTCAAGGAAAGCCTGAGCCAGCCGTAACTATAAGCTCTATCAAAAAGGAAAGTCTTAATTTTATTCTTAGATGTGGAGAGGGTGTGGGCCTTCACAGGAGAGGAGCTTGATAGCTAAAGACTCTGAGATCTGATTACATTCAGTGCTAGCAAACAACTACTGTATTCAAGCTGATTACATAGCTCATGTCTGATTAGAATGATTAACTACTTAATGGGTTCTGCTTAACAGGCAGTTAAGTTGATCCAATCCTCCTCCCACATCTTCCCCCCTTTTAATTTATGAGTAAACCATAAATTATGCTGCTAGATTATAAAGCACATTCAGCTGAAACTAATGCAGTTCAATTCTGCACTGCAATAAATCAGACTCTTTTTTTTAAAGTGCTTAAGTTAAAGGAGACATGTCATGGCCATTTCCACTGATCATAATTCCATTGTTGAGGTCTACTAGAATAGATTTATATTGTGCATTTTTCCAAACTCACATTGGTTTCTCATACAGCATCTCTGTAAACTACGTGTATTCACTGAATTTCACTCTCTGCCTTTAACGGCTCGTTGTAGCTCCAATAGCTCCAGCCCCCACCCTCCCTGTGAGCACAGTGTGCTCTGATTGGTCGGGACGTTGTGAATCACGCTGAGCTCCGTGGAGGTGTTGTTTCCTTGTTAGCGATACACAGCAAAACACAGCCAAACTCATCCTGAGCACACAAAGTCACAGCCGAAGTAAAAACAATAAGTGTGGCTTGATATTGAGTAAGAAAAAGGTTGATAAACGCTGTGAGAATGGGTCTGCAGATAACTGTCTGTTATCAGCCTGCAGCCAGGGAGGAGAAATCAGCACAGCAGAGCTGCTTGCACTGAGTGTGTGTGTGAGGAAGTCCGTGGATTGGTCAATTTGGACCAATCAGCGGGGGCTTAACGTAACGGCTCAGCGGACGTAACGTAACGGCTCCACGGATTGGTCCATTTCGTTCCGGGTACGGGATTACATCATGCCGTACCCGGAAGACTCGAATGGACAATGACGTATCTCCAACGAGGCGTTCTGGGGAGGTATTTTCTGTGTTAGAGTTTTACTCGCTACAGGGTGTACTTTGAGGGTTTGTGACTCTGCAGACCGTTTACATGCATAAAAACCTTCATAACACACAAGGGGACGGGTAAGAACCGGAAAAGCATGACATGGGCCCTTTAAGTTCTGGTTGAAACAATTAGAGCATTCTTGATTCAACGAAATTATCATTTTAGAGTCTGCAGTTTGTGGATTGTATTGTTCCTCTGCCACCTCTCTGTATAGAGTTTAACACAACCACACATTACATCCTGCAACATCTAGCTCAGGGCTTCTCAAACTCCGGACCAAGGTCCGCATCCGGACCGAACTGCAAATCAATCTGGACCGAACCCTGTGTCCCATTGTAAAAAATAATAAAAAAATAAAAACTTTCTGATTCCGATGTAAATTAGATTGCTTTGTTGGAGGGTTAGGAGAAACGGGAGATGTCTGAGAAATGAGCGGAAGCGCTCTCTTTTCCTCTCTCTCTCTTTTCCTCTCTCTCTCTTTTCCTCTCTCTCTCTTTTCCTCTCTCCCTCTCCTGACAGCCTGTCAGTATCTCATGCAGCTCACTGATCCAGTAATGAGTGACCCGACAGTGAAGAATAAACATATTTATAACTAGTTTAGCTTGTTCCAGAGGTAGATCAAATAGCTAAGTGTGTTAGGTCTAACTAGATGTGTGTGTGTTGCTCCGCTCACCGGTCCGTCACAGCGGGTGGAGCTGCAGGATTTCTGCTTCACACACACATTGCACCGCTATTTTATTGTCTTTTTCGGACACCTTAAAATACTGCCAGACCGGTGAAGCCATTTTGGCGATGTTGTTTTGCCAGGCACAGAGAAGAGTGTCATGTATTTTACGTCATGTGATCGGCTCTCCTGATCGGCCTTTATAGAGAGCACCGATCGATCGGCCGAGAGTGAATATCGGCCGATCGATCGGAGCATCCCTAAAATGAATGTATATTTTCTTGTGTCTGACGCGTTTTGAGAATGAACGTGCATATACATTTACTTGTGTGCGCGAGCATGACACGCATTGCAGACCGCAAGTTAACCGCAAGTTTAACTTGACTTTCTAATGCTCCCATAAAACATTGGTAGCATTCGGGAGGGGGAGGGGCGAGGGAGTTTTTCCCCAATCAGAAGCGCAGCGTCATTTTTATGATATTTTCCTGCACACGTTATTGCGAATGCTGGTAGCATGTCGTTCTCAAAGTTTGCAAAGCAAAGGAAAGTTGATCAAGAGAACCGAGAATTCAAAGAAGAATGGACAGAGAAATATGCATTTATTCTCCCACAGTCCAGCACCAAACCAATGTGCTTGATTTGCACAGAAACCGTGGCCATCATAAAGAGTGGTAATGTGGAACGCCACTATGAATCGAAGCACAGCTATTTTGAGCGGCAGTATCCCCAGAACACAGAGGTGAGGACAGCAAAACGTACTAAGTTAAAATCTTCGTATCAAGCCACACACAGTCTGTTTGTCAGATCTATGACAATGCAAGAGAGAGTAAGGCGCCGTTTACACGAGGAGAAAACTGCTTGTATCTGCATAGTTTCGCGTGCGTATAGCCCTATTATTTACACGAGGCCGATAGAAACGGACCCCACAAACGATAACGGGTCCCAAGGTGGATAGATTTGCAAACGAAACGCTCTGGGGAGTCAACCGAGTCTGTGTAATCACCTCTATACGAATATTTCCTGAAAAAATAACGATAGCCCCACCTCTCCTGCTCACTGCTGTAGCATGGCCAGTAGCCATCTGTAACGATCAACTATCAAAAATAGCTGTGTTCATTAAACGCACAAGGGGTTCTTGAATGAAATAATATTATAAAAGGCAAACCAGAATAGTTAACGCCCAATATACTCCTTAAACAAAATAAACAGAGTCAGATTTCATGCATTGATCCATTATATTGACAAAGGAGGATCTCACCCGGTGTTTGTAGAGAATATCTCTCTTTCTGAGCGCGTCCTCTCCACGGAGACGTGCTTCTTGGTCGGTCGATGCAATATCCACAGATTCGGTTTCTTTCAGTTAACTTCCCCGTTGCATTTATCCATATGCTGAGGAAATTACTATATCCCGCTGAATACCAGCAATCGCCACACACACTTCCTCCTGTCAGTAGCTACTGCTAGTGCTACTGCTACTGACCATGCTACAGATATTAGTGCAAAATATACAGCTCCTCTACCACAACCATCAGCAACAAGTGGACATGGAGAATTACATGAACTACATGTTGCTAAATCCACCGCGGGGCATAAACAGAAGGGTAGCCATGGCAACATTGCTGCGGGGCTGCTGCGGAGTCTGCTTCGCTGCTTTTGGTGTATTTTGTGGCGGAAGTTACAGTCCAAGTTACAGTCCAAGTTACAGTCCAAGTTACAGTCCCGGCATATGTACTACAGCGTGTCCAGCGGTCTCGTTTGAACAGACACGTTAAATGAAACGAATGCATGTGAACGGAAGACTTTTTTGAATATGCATACTGTGCATAAACGCAAACGTTCCCGTGTGCACAACGCCTAAATGAAGCCTCACTCAGAGTGGCCTGGGTTTTGGGCAAGCACAAAAAGCCCTTTTCTGATTCAGAAGTAGTGAAGGAGTGCATGACTGAAGTAACTGAGGCTTTGTTGGAGGGTAAGGAGAAACAGGAGATGTCTGAGAAAATTAAGCAGATACCCTTATCAAACTCCACTACAACCAGGAGAACTGAATTACTTGCTAAAGACCTGGTGACACAGCTGACGGATGACATAAAAAATGCAGAGTGCATTTCATTGGCTGTTGATGAATCAACTGACAGCACTGACAACGCCCAGCTAAGCGTCTTCGTTAGGTATTACAGTGAGGCAAAGGGAACATTTTGTGAGGACATATTAGGCCTCAAAACCCTCCATGGCCACACCAGGGGAGAGGACATTTATGAAGCCATCATGCAGATGCTGAATGAAATGGGAATTGACCTCAAGACTGTGGTGTCCATTGCAACTGATGGAGCTCCAGCCATGATTGGGAGAGAGAAGGGAGCTGTTCAGTGCCTGAAAGAGCACCATCCAGACCTGCTGTCATACCACTGCATCATTCACCAGTCAGTGCTGTGTGCCAATCTTGGAAAAGAATACTCAGATGTCATGGAGACAATTATGAAGCTTGTGAACTACCTCTCCTCAGCCCTTCAGCACCGCCTTTTGCGTGCATTTCTGACAGAGGTCAATGCAGCTTATGATGACATTCTCCTTCATAACAACGTGAGGTGGCTGAGTAAGGGAAGGGTTCTGGAGCGATTTTGGGCCATCAGGAAAGACCTGCAGATGTTTTTGTCTGAGCAGAAAAATGCCAAAGCCAAACAGTACCTTGATTTTCTGCAGGATGATGAAAAGATGGAATGTGTGGCCTTTTTGGTGGATGTGACATCTCATCTAAATGAGCTCAACCTCAAACTCCAAGGCCAAGGCAACACAGTGTGTGACCTTATGTCAGCAGTACGTTCTTTCCAAAGAAAGTTGGAGATCTTCAGGAGTGACATAACAGAGGCACATCTCCACTTTCCAACTCTATTGGAGCAAACTAATGGTAATCACCATCACACTCATGTTGCATTCCTGGAGAGGCTGCCTGAGAATTTTCAAAAACGTTTTGATGATTTCAGTCTTGGTAAGCAAGTCCTGCTCTGTATTGGATCTCCATTTCTGGTGAAGAATGTTCAAGAATTCTCAAGAGAGGCACAGAGCATCTTCCCGTGGGCAAATGTTTCATCTCTGCAAACTGAGCTCATAGATCTCCAGGAGAATGTTGCTCTGAAGGAAGTGGACTGTGACCCTGTGACATTCTGGACAAAGATGGCTACTGCAGCAAATGTCCCCCACCTTCAGAAGGTGGCCATTCATTTGCTCACCATGTTGGGTTCAACATATTGCTGTGAGTCTGGATTTTCCACAATGAACATTGTGAAAAACTCATACCGCAGCAGTTTGACAAATGAACACTTGGGTCAGTGCCTCCGCCTGGCTATCACACCTTTTGTGCCGAGGTTCAAGGCATTGGCTACAGGCAAACAGTGCCATTTCTCCCACTAGCTCAATACAATGTATGTATTGAATGTGTGTGTGTATATGTTATGGATGTTGATTTATGTCACGCACTTTACTGGCGTTGTTCCGGACCAGTGACCTTGTTTAAAATTCACAAGTGAACCTTTAATAAAAAAGTTTGAGTACCCCTGTTCTAGAGTGATCAACATGTTTCTAATTTAATGAAATATGAATGTGTCCATCCAAGTAAAATTATCTTTAAAAAATCAATTGGATATTAAGTATACAA